GGGGGGGGGGGCGTTAGAGTCCGGACCTTTACACTAGTGGTCTTATAGCCTAACATTTAAGCCTCATTCATTAACGAAACCGTCTTAATGGATCCATATTCATGAGATTTGTGGGAATAGAACCTGCAGGAGTGTGCGTCACAGAGTGACTGATACAACTGGTGAGAGCAGACAACTTGAAGACGGACTTCTTGACAGAACAGCTATACAAATGGCTAGTGAGCGCCCGGAGATGAACACAGTGTAGACAAAAATGCAGGAGTGCAACACAGTGTAAACTGGGTTTGCTTTAAGGGATACCAAGGCCAGCACTCCTAAGACCAGTTCATTAATTAATGCTCCCAACGTGCTAGTACGAAAGTCATCAAACCAAAAAACCGAGGAGTCTTTGCATTAGCATTACTGCGATATGGCATTCACCACAGCTACTGGACCTACAACTTCAATTAATGGGGCACAATTGAATCTCATAGGAACGGTCGAGTTCTAAACATGTCGGATCTTCACATTTTCCCAGTTAAGCCTCATTTACGGAACCATCAGGGTATGGAACAAATGGAGAATGCCGTAATCTTCAAAGAATTTGCGTCAACGTCATTTCACACGCCACGGTGTTGGGGACTACCCGCGACATTTCGTGAAAGTGAAAGGAGAATTGATAACAAGTTTCAATCAGAGATCACCAGCTCTTGCAACATCACCAAAGCGTTAATTGATCACCGACCAGCTGCAAAGGACGTCCACAAGTTAGCACAAATAGCTTTATTTAGCTGAGTGAAGTCAAAAACATCCGGATTCTCTCCGAATAAGCCATTGAGTGATGAGACCTGATGGCTTGACAAAGGCACTGTTCCCGATAGAATATTTCCTGATCTTTTCTTCTAGGATAAACCTGTGGCCTCTAAGGATAGCCTAAGGGACATTGTCGAATCGAAAAACGACTTCGACAGAGCTCCAACCGGCATGGCCGACGTACACACCCAGAAGTGGCCGTGTTATGACGGCCTTGTTAGGGTTGCATCATTCACAGTGAAGCCCTAGGACGTCAACGAATAGTACGCTTATGGGAGACACCCAGACGATTATGGACACATGATCTTCCCCGTTCTTACTACTTTTTTTGAATCTTCAAGGTTCCTTAAATCCCCAATTTTCGCCTTTTTTTTCGATAATTTCGCACTGTTCCACACCATAACTTCCATTGTATCATGTGAACTAGATATCCCAGAATTATCGTGAACTTTGCCTTTAATGAATCTAATCCTGTACTATCATAAAGAAGTTGGGGATCAACGGCAATGGCTAAAAATCTCGCATAAGCTTCCAGCTATGCTTTTTTAGAACTAAATTAAGACTTAATTATTAGAAAAACCAATAGAGTTTATGACTATAATTGATATAAAATGTAAGAAAGCACTCCCCATACTTTTCGCTTTGGCAAAAAAAAATGCACGATAAATCAGCAAGAGCCTAAGAAAAAATGGGAAGCGTTTCCACAGCACTAGAATCACGACTGCAAATTCGAAATACCCATGAGTCACTTGGACTGAACACACTCATTTGTAAATTCGTTGTTATGAGCAAGTTACTAATGAGCTCAATCACCCCAGTTCTCCAGTAACTACCCTCAATTAAAGGTAATGCACAGAAAAGCCCCTCAGCTTCAGAGAAAATGCATAATTGAAGATGAGGAAAAAAGGTTGTAGCGTGCAGCGAACATTTAGCAGAACTGGGCGACGTGAAGGAGGAAAAAAAGAGCCGAACGAGCCGCAATCGATAGTTGGGACGGCTAGACTAGTAGGCAGACGGCGGTGGTGGTGGTGACATGGGGATCCCCTCGGCGGAAACACTGAGCCGAGGTCACTTGTAGTGTCACCTGTACTACAGGAGGGAGACCGCAGTAATGCGAGAATAGGGGCTATGGTAAACCGAACTGTTAACCGGTGGTTGACAAAGTGTTTTGGCCCAGATCCTTTTGGGAGCATGAGCACAAAGATGTCCATTTCGGGAGGGCACAACAAAGGAACAGTCATCTTATCTTTACTGGTACTACTTTTTCGTAAAAAGTATAAGATGAGTCAGAGACCGACGTTGAGGTGACGTCAGCTCCCACGAAGTGCATAAGAAGCCGTTGCGAAATCGAATGCGATTTACGAATTTCGATGACGAATTGCAAAACTAACAAGAAAGAGTGCAGCTTTTGCTGCCGGAGATTTCATTATACGGTAAGGATACGGTAAGGCCAGAAAAACCAAAACTAGGGCATTTTTGGAAATTTCTCAGAATTTTCTGGGAAAAACGGAAACGACTTCCAAAACAGGGCCATTGATGCTCAAACACCGGCATAATCTAAAAGTCTTACCGAAATTGAGCCATGTCGAGCAGTGTTGAGTATAGACGTCTGGAATATCTGAGATGGCTTTGTGGAAGATGTTTTGAGGGGAGTGGCTAACACGCCCAGAAGCGCCAAAGAACTCATGCAAAAACATTCCCGATCAAAGTCAGAATCCAATTCATACGCTTTGCAAAACAATCAACAATGTCTATCCCGAGCCGGGCGACATTTGATACCACGCGGCTTTTGGGAGGATGTCTATGGGAGCTCATTCGAATGTATTGCTGTATTTATTACAAATTAAGAAAAAAAGCTGATTGGTAGCTCAACTTGATCATTTGTTCTGGGCTTGACTTGATGGGCGTGATTTATAGTATTCTCGTTAATGAAGTAATTCATCAGAGCAGAAGCCGTAGTATATCATTAGCATAGGCTCGAGCTCAAAATTTACAGCTTCGATTCCTTGATGTTCCCAGAATATATGACCATGACAGCTTGCAGTATCAAGATCTACAGCCGTCATTAGCACATTTACTAAAAAGAAACTTTAGCACCCAGCTTCCAAGAGAACTTCCGACCCCTTATGCCTACCCTTCGTCTGCAGGCAGCACCGTTCAATATCCCTAGGCGGACGGTGGAGAGCAGAAGCCGAGAAATCTGATTAAATACATGGAACACTTCTAACACGGCTGGAGAAAGGATTATCAAATGAGTAGCATGTGTGCCAAGAAAAAGAGGAGGAGGAAAAT